ACAATCTCCACGCCATCTCATCGCATCTTCCAGTTCCAGGCATCGTTAAAAATCTGGCCTTAAGGAAGAGCAGGAGACGTGGCCAAAGAATCTGAACTCAGTCCTTAGGCAACCAGACTAATTTAACCCATGCTTGGACTCTCCTGCAGTGCACAGAAAAAGATTTAACCCATGCTTGGACTCTCCTGCAGTGCACAGAAAAAGACCCTTCAGGTAAGCCAATGGTCAGTCTCTGTCACAGTTACTGTTTTTGAGCCAGGCCTTGCCGAATCTTTACTTATACTTTTGATTTTTCCTGCCTAAATGTAAAGCTTTGCTTTTCTCCACATATTAATTACTATATTAAACTGGGTCCCTAAAACTCAAAACATAAGGAACAAGGAAATGTTTAAAATTGAGTATGAGGCATGTAATATGAATAGAAGCTACACTAGATAGCTTCAAGTAAGCTTGAGTAGCTTGGCCAGATTGTCTGGGCACCAGGTTGTGAATGCAAAAGGGTTTTGAAAGGGAGGACAACAGTATGGCTCAAGGCAATTAATCTCAGCAGACTATAATTGCAGGCAGATGCTAGAAGGTACCTCTAAGTGCAGGGAAGGAAGAAATAAAAATGAACAGATCTTGATAGTAATAACAAAGAGAAATTGTGGAGGGAAGGGTAGAACAGTCTGCCGCAGAGGAAGAAAAATGGGCAATTTAGCATTGGCCCTTCTGGCCCCACACCATCAATCCTAAATCCAAAAGGCAGAGTTGCTAAACTGTACGATTAATGATTGTGGGAAGTGGGAATGTCTAGTCTAACGAAAACAAGGATGAGGGGTAACATGGTAACAGGTTTCCAGCTGTAAGAGAGAGGCATGGACTCGGTGGCTCAGTGGCTAAGACGCTGAGCTTGTCGATCAGAAAAGTCAACAGTTCGGCATTTTGAATCCTTAGTGCCACGTATATGAGTGAGCTCCCATTACTTGTCCCAGCTTCTGCCAACCTAGCACTTCGAAAGCATGTAAAAATGCCTGTAAAAAATAGGAACCACCTTTGGTGGGAGATAACAGCGTTCCGTGCGCCTTCGCCGTTTAGTCATGTTGGCCACATGACCATGGAGACGTCTTCAGACAGCGCTGGCTCTTCGGCTTTGAAACAGAGATGAGCACTGCCCCCTAGAGTCGGGAACAACTAGCACATAGGTGCAAGGGGAATCTTTACCTTTGAGAGGAGGGGGTCAGCCTATTCTCCAAAGCACCTGAAGGCAGGACATGAAATAACAGATAGAAGTTTATTAAAGACAGGATCCAATCTAAAATTAAGGAGAAATTTTTTGTCAGGGAGAACAATTAATCAATAGAGCAGCTTTCCTCCAGAAGTTGTGGGGACTTCCTCTGTGGAGGTTTTTAAAAAGAGATTGGAGAACTATTTCTCCAGTATGTTAAAGGGTCCCCTGCTTGAACAGAGCTTTGGACTACAAGACCTCCAAAGTCCCCTTCAACTCTAATTCTGCTGGGAAATTACCTGGTCTCTGGCTGCTGCAGCTGCTGCTAATATAAATTGTGAAAACAGGTTTATGGCTTAGGCACTTCTCCTCTCCAAAGAATATCGCAACAAAAGTGCCTGTAATAAAATGGGCTATCTCCCCTATCCTCAAATGATTCAACCCAAGCATCTCTGTGTAGCATGGAGATAATACTATCGAATATCCTGTATCTATTGAATTCAGAGGATGATATGTATAGAGATGTTATCTATTTTGAATGTGCTTTGTAAGAAGGTGGAGCCAAGGTCAAAATATTATCTTTTTTTAATTGCAGTAAGCATCGTGTTCTATTGTTTTCACAAATGACCCAGATGTTAGATATTCTGCAAGATTACATGGATTATAGAGGTAAATGTTTTTGATTTATTTTCAGAGTTCCTATTCTTAAGAATAAAACAATGCTTTGTATTGGAAAATCCTAAAAATAAAAACCTGGTTTCTTACCTATGATTGTGGGTTCTTTGTATGTTCATCGTTGAATTCCCGTACATAAATTATGCGTTGATAGGACAGCCCACTTGGAAATTTCTAAAATATAGACTATCATTTAGTGGGGACCTTGATCCCGCATATAGGATATGACTAGAGATGTCTAGGGATACAGTGGCTAAGATGCTGAGCGTGTCAATCAAAAGGCTTGCAGTTCAGCAGTTCAAATCCCTAGTGCCATGTAAAGGAGTGAGCTCCCGTTACTTGTCCCAGCTTCTGCCAACCTAGCAGTTCGAAAGCATATAAAAATGCAAGTAGAAAAATAGGGACCACCATTGGTGGGAAGGTAACAGTGTTTTGCGCACCTTCGCCATTCAGTCATGCCGGCCACATGGCCACAGAGACGTCTTTGGACAGTTCTTTGGCTTTGAAACGGAGATGAGCACCGCCTCCTAGAGTCAGGAACAACTAGCACATATGTGTGAGGGGAACCTTTACCTTTACTTTAAAGATGGCTATTGCTGAACCCTTCAGTTTCTAAAGTCACCACAATGGGTTTGAATGAACATAATTGAGGCAGGCAGTATTATGTCATAATTCAAGTAAAAAGCAGAAAATATTTTTGAAACATTTTTTGGCAAAAATTTTAATGTGAAAAAGAGGAAGAATGTTTCCTAAGACCTGTAGTCCATTAGCTTTTCCAAATCAGGCTAAAAGTCTGGAGAAGACTTGAATATCAAGTAACAAATGTTATAAACAAATGTTATTAAAAAGTATGTTCATCAGATGCATAGAATATGTATACTGATATAGATTTTAAATTGGGGTAGGGCAGGGAGAAAGGTAGGGAAGATAGGTTGATTGTGCAGATGTAGGTTAAATTACCCTATTGTAATGTGCTAAAAATGCATTGTTGAGACCTTGTTTTAATTTTGTTTGGTATGTCTTTTAATGTATGTGAATTCAGCAGCAACCTCTTTCTCAGTGAAAGAGCACTCTGTGCATTTGATGAAATGAATTGCAGCTCACTAATGCTTTATGCCCTTTAATCAAGTTTGATAGTCAACAAAAATGCTACCAGATCCCTTGATTTCAAATCAGAAAGTGGATACTACAAGAAATATTAGAACTTTGTTGATATAAGCTATAAATAATAGAATATTGAAATTTGTTTCTCCTTCCCTCCCTTTTCCCGTTTTCCCTGTTTAGCACATATTTTCCTAATGGTCGCTATATACTTTTTTCAAACATAGGAATAATGTATCTCTCATGAATGTTTAACGTTTCTTTTAAAAACTGAAAAGGTTACAGTTATGAGCGCCTGGACGGATCTGTCCGAGGTGAAGAGAGACATCTTGCCATTAACAACTTTGCTCAGCAGCCTATTTTTGTTTTCCTTCTGAGTACCAAGGCAGGTGAGCAATCAAGGCTTTTCTATGTACTGTACTTGATATTCTGTTAATTTGAAAGCTAATAGTGGGCTACTAGTATTCTGATATGAGTAAAAGTATAAAGAAAGAAAGTTAGAAAAGAAGAAAAAGAAGAAAAGGGAAAGAGTGGTGTGTGGATGGGTGTTCCAATCTTCATCGCAAGTATAAACATGTTTGGTAGCTTTTTATTCCCCTTAAGGTTATAAACAATATCTTTTCTTCCTATAACCCTTCCCTTGTTTATAAACAAATCCATAAAAATTTAGTTTTTCAATCCATATGTCTTATTTTAACCTTGATCAAATAAAATCCACTTTATATTCCTTTCTTTTAGTTCTGAAAATCTTAATCTTTAGTTCATTCAAATATTGTTGTAGGATTTGATCTCTTTTTAATTATTCTTTGTGCCATTATTTAGATTTTTTTCAAAAACAAGTCTTTTTGCATATAGATATACAGTTAATTCTCCTGGTTTATCATTTGCATTTCTCTTTAATTTTTATTCATTTATCAAATTTATGTAGCTTATCTAATTAGAAAAGAGTCTGAACATTTTTTTAAAATACATTATTTTAATTTTAAAAATTTCAACCAGCTACTTTTGTGTATCCATTACAAATTCTTTATCCAGATAATTCTCTTGGCCTTCTACTTATATTTCCACTTTAAATATCCTCTCTGTATTGAAATAAATTGGATCCCTTAAGTTTAATAAGGCTCCCGGTGCTGATTGTGTTCTCCCAGAACCTTAGTTGGTGGACATCTCTCTTTACATTTATAGATCAAATTGATTGTATGACAAGAGATTGGAGAATAGCAGTTATAGTACCAATCTATAAAAAGGGCAATAAAAATGATCTGCGTAACTACAAGCCCATGAGTCTACTGAGCATTGTTAGCAAATTGTATGCTAAGCACTTAAACCACAAACTGCAAAATTGGATAATCTCTGAGAGCATAATTAAAGATGAATTTAGGGAAGGGTATGGATTCAAGGAAGGGAGATCAACAGTTGATCATATTTTGGTACTTCACCACCTTGTACAAAAATATACATATAAAAAGAAATTTCTCTTTTTGTGGCCTTCCTTGATTTTAAACAAGTCTTTGATTTGATATCTAGAAGTACCCTCTGGAATAAACTAAAAAGTATTACTATTGAATGCCTCTCCTATCTCATACAAAAACAATATTTTCCAAAGTTGGTGGAGACAGCAGCCATGCATGGATTAACTGAGCCAGTAACCAATGGACTGAGTCTACCAAAGTGATGTAATAGCCTCTGGGGAGTGTCCTCCTGCTTTTTTAGACTCAGTCGATTGGGACTGGCTGTGCTAGTTGCGCTCTCTGCATCTAAAAATTACAGAAAAATTGTTAAATTGGTTATTTTCAAATTAAATTACCTTTGAGTTGCATTTGTGCTGATAAATAAATAAAGGGAGACTAGTATAGATCTATTTCAAGCTATTTAGCTCTCATCAGCTAGCCATATCATTACTGGGATTTGAACCTGTGCTGTATTACATATTAGGCAGTTAGCACAAATGTAACCAAAAGGCAACAGTAAAAATAATGGCTTTCTGTCTGGATGGTCTCTTGAGATGTGCTGATAGGCAGAGAAAGGAAAGCAGTATGCTTCCTCCCATATTTGGGCATACCAGGGGTTGTGACACAAAATATATACCTACCTCCCTGGACTCAGCTGATAAGGAGGAGGGCCTGTGGCTTAATGGTTAAGACGTTTGCTTAAGATGTAATACAGCACAGGTTCAAACCCCAGTAAGGTTATGGCTAGCTGATGAGAGCTAAATAGCTTGAAATAGATCTATACTAGTCTCCCTTTATTTA